CCATTTTTTACAAGACCACCACCACATTTACAAAATGTTTTGTCTTTTTTTTGCCATTTGTCTTTTATGCAGTATAAGTTCTAGGCTTCTTTATTTAAGTATTTTAGACGTTTTTAAAGTCACCTCACAGCTCTAGCACAAAGACAATCTTTGATAAACAGCTGATTGCATGGAATTGAAAATAAGTAAAATTATCTGGACATATAAACACACTTTCTGTTTAAAAATTCAAGGTTTTAAGGCTCAATATTAGGTCTTTGACAAATTGCTGCAGTAAATACTTCTCAGTATTCTGCTACTAAAGTCATTTTTTTGGAGCCCTGAAGCTAAGAGCCACAGTAAGAGAGACATATAATAAGCAGATGGGATAGTGAATTATTTGGACCGCTAACAAAGAAAGAATTACATAATCTCTACTCTGAAGAAATGCCAGAGCACTGACTGTATAAATCTTTCAGAATGTAGTTTGCTCCACCTAGTGGTGGGAGGGAATGCAGGCAGCGACTTTCACAGCACCACTGTTTTACATGGATACTATTTTCACATAATAATTTTAAAATAAAAACTGAGGTGAATGATTATTTGAACTAAGAAAGACTTTCTATCAAGCCAAGAACCCAAATACTCTGAGAAAGTCTGAGCTATGAACGTTAGTGTTATAAATCTAAAGACGTGCATTTGTTTCCTTACTAAATAAACCTGAATATCAAACTACTTTTATCATGTTGTCACATGTATTGTCATGCATTCTTGTGAGTCACACACCGACCTTTCAAAGCCACAAAACCGAATCTATATGTCAAACTCTCAAATTGATTGTTGTATAACGTAAGAACTAACACCACGCGGGCATTTGTACTTTCATGTTTCATATCTTGGGGGTACAGACACAGACAAAGCAAGATAACTGTCTGTGAAACAGCTCAAACTTGGACAGGACTAAAAGGAAATAATAATGAGTTGCAATTTATAAACAGCATGAACACACATGTCAAACATATTTAACATATTAACTTTTTTTTTTGTTTCTGCAAAAACAAACAGACTTAATTACTTCCCTTTACTACTAAGCAAAATTACCCATGCAATTGGTTTATAATATTAAAATACTGTATCATTTGGTTTAAGTCATTTACACATCATTAGTTCTGAAGTGTAGCTGTTGTTAAACTACCAATGGGTAATGTTATTCATAGCATACCCAAGTGGCATTACTTTACACCATTCATTTTGCCACATGTTGTTCAACCTTCTGGCTAGCCAGATGTTCCAAATGTTAGTAGGAAAGTAATGTTCCCCGGGTCAGCTAAGTCACTGGATTGTAAAAAAAAAAGGGGAAAAGACACAGCAGGATCCAATGCTACACCAATGATTTGAGACCGAAAACCAGTGGCTCTGCTTCGGCTTGTGTATTATGTGTAGGTTTAACCAGTGAGCCTGATAGTAGAAAAAATGTCAGAAAATGAACCATTCAGCAAACCACATGTCAATTAAAAAGCTGATACTCTAAAGGCAGCAAGCCTCTCACAAACTTGATTAGTCAAGGCCTTTAGAAAAGCACTTACGCATTAAAATCCCTACCCAGGCTTTTCATCTAAAATCCCAAAGACTGGAATACATTAACTTTACATTCCCAACATTCCATTGAGCAGCCAATTTTTAAACTAAAAACTCCATACTTGCTTGCTCTGGGAAATAATGGCACCCATTACTTCACTACAGTGATAATTAAATGCAGCGTGGCTTTTACACTTTGAATCAGAACACAGTCTGAATTAGTCACTTTCACACACACTGGCACAAACACTCCTTGTGTCACAAAGAACAGGCAAAGTAAGTTTTGGTCCCAAGTACAGTTTCTTCTCTTTGTGTCTTGCTAGAAAGCTCATTTTGAGTGGATTAAAGGAAAAAAAATGTGACAGAAATGAAAACAGAGCGAGATCTTCAGATATAGTACAAAGACCAAAAGTCTGTTGATTGGTTTTCTAAAGATAGTGTGACTTGCTCTCGGCTGCTATGGTAACAGAAACCCAAAGACTTCATCCAGCACCCCAGGTTGCTTGCAGATTCAAGCTATGAAGGTGTGAAAATTGAATATCTGTGCAAATACATAGTATAGTAACCAGACATCATTAGAATAACACTGATAAAACTGACACATAACAGCTACTACAATTAAGCTTATAGCAATAATACAGTTACTGTACCTCAAATAAACGTGGTCAGTGTTAGTGATTGCAGGTCAAAAGCTGTTAGGAGTTAGGCCTATGTCTTTAATCAGGGGGCAGCGAAGGTAGGCACACATGACATAGTGGCACAATAGCTTAACCGATAGCACACTGGCAATTAGTGCCCTCTCATCTGCATGCCAAATTGTCTTTCTTACAGCCATCGGCAGTTGCGCTCCTTGTCTTATTATAGGATGAAGGTAACCAGCGTTACATTATTTAAGCACCTTATGGCACCTTCATCACATGTTCTGCACAGGCTTAGAAATTTTCCCCTTTAAGAGTCCCGTGGTGCAGTCTGTAACAGTGATGACATTGTTTACATATCTTTGTTTAGCCCACAACACTTACATGCTTTGACATCACTAGAGGGTGCTTGATGCCTGTGAAGTAGAAGCCTTTTACACAAGTTAATAATAATTCTTCTATTAACACAGAATCATCAAATAATTACAAATAACATAATCAGCATTAAGTGTTAAATTATCACAGAGGCAAAACAATGGCCACTTTCAGAGTTATATTATTTTATTATTGTATCATTATTAGTGATGCATTAACATGTAAGCAGCATTTTAATGTTATCAAATATATATTCTTTTGAGCAGTAAGTATATGTTGAAGTTTAAAATAGCACAAAATAGAAATAGGCCCATTCAAGCTACATACAATATCTCAACATTGTACATAAAAACAGGTTTTAAGATTAACTTACTGTCATTACATTATATCACTGCTCTTTAATTGTGAGACAAAACTGAAGTAATGGCAAATATAGTTAAGTAGAGGAAAGTTGTGTAGAAGCAATCTGTTTACTAGAAAAGGGTCAAAATGAATTTACAATTCATACTAATGGCAGAGTCCCTTTATAGCTGATCAGGTAGGATATGAATAATGGATTAAATTAGCACAAGCCTCCAGGAATGCTTCTCCACAGGTCACAAAGTACAAGAGAAAAATCCCTCAGAAGGAGGATGCATGTAAACTGTGTATCTAGTGCACTATGTTAGAGGGGCCACTGTATATACAGCCAGAAAGAAGGTAACAAAGCAAAGTAATTATTTACTTTTCTCTTTTCTCCAGTAAACAAGATGAGAGACAAGATGCCAGCAGTAAGGCAAATCAAGACATAGGCCAAATAATGCAAGTTTTCTTCTCTGTTGTTGTGTCATCTAGTATGCACTAAAGAGTAAGAGTAAGAGTACACCAAGCTAAGAGGGGAGAACATGTTGTCTTGTAAATTAATTTTGAAAAAAGTAAAAAACACTGCTTTTTGAATTAGCATTCTCTTTTATTTAATTGCAGAGTAATTTCATTACATTACAAGTTACAAAATTGCACAGCAACAAACAAATCACAAGGGGGCCTTTATGCCTGGTGGGTATAGTATATGGCGCACATGTGAGGATTAAATCCTGCAACAAATCTCATTGCAAGCCTCTTTTGCAGAAGAAGGAGTAAAACTTTCCCTCTCACTCTACACAGGTTAGATTGGTAATGTTGGATTAAATGAGATGTTGACACAAATGTGTGACTTAGCATAGGCGCCCGCATATGAGGAGTAATACTTTTTCTATAGACAAAGATTTATGATTCTTTTGCATAATTATAGTAAGATGGTGGAAGAGGAGAGGAAAAGCAGCAGGGTCTCAGGGCTCTTTGGAATTAAATGCTCAAGGTAAAACATGAATTACTAAATTGCTTCAAAATTCCCTGAGCATCAAGTCAGCACTCACTGCGGTCAATCCTCACCCAGTATTGTTGTGTATCCTCTATCAATCAGAGGCGACTGCATGTAATATAATGAGATAACATATAATTATGCCATTATATACATTGCAAGATACATGGTTATTTAAACAGAATATATTTAACTACAGGACTGTTTACCATGGACTATTTTACAACTAGTAGATGAATGAATGAAAATTAAATCTTAACTGTTGAAAACTCACTAACATGATTAACATCTCTCAGTTGCAGATTAATTTTTATATTTTTTTGGCCCATTTTTCACTTCCTTGGAATGCTCTTTGCAAGAATGTTCAATCTCCTGAATGTCCTTCTCCACTTCCTGTAAGATTTCCACAATCTCTTTCTCGGTCTGAAGTTGTTCTTTGTTTTGTCCAGCAGATCCCAACGTATCTTCCTCTGACAATGAATGTATTTCATCACAATTCTGAGAGGGGGGTCTGCTCCGCCTATGGAGGGACCCAGCATCTGTGACCTCTATGGATAGCTCATTGTGAGGCTGTCTTGTACTGGACAGAACAACTGAACCACTGGCTTGCCTGTTAGAGCCCACAGAGCTGGTGGTGATTGCAGCTCCGCTCTGCAAGGTGGTGGTGGTTACATCAAATACATACAGCTTCTGTTGAGGATCATCAGTAGGGAATTTTGGAGAATATTTGAATGAGTTTCCAGGGTAAGCCAAGGTGGAGCTTGCAACGTTACCTGCAACCACCCCTTGAGGTTTACCCTTCATCATTCCCAGGACTTCATAGCGGAAGCTGGAGATATCCTGCTTAAGCTCCTATCAATTATTGAGAAACAGAGATTAAACAATAGCAGAGATGACACAGTAATAAAAAAAATCAGTAATCAAGGTTCCAATATTGTATAACTAAATAATACCTTAAAATTTTCTTCTGTCAACCCTTCCGCTGTCTTTGCATCTCTGATCATTGCAGCCACATACCGCTTCACAAGGTTCCTCAAAACTTCCTAAAAAAAATGCAAATTATTTTTAATAGGGCAATAAAGTTTAATCTAATTCAAAAACATCAAAACTTTACAGTATATTGTTGAGAACAAATTACTACCTGATACTCATGGTTTACTCTTACATTTTCGGCTGCTCGTCTCTACAATTACAAACAAAAAAGGTCCATTAACAAAGCAACACATTATTTATGTTTGCAATGGTGGGTTGAATTGTCCTTTCAGTACTTGCAATTTTTCAATAAGAGGTCTTTCAAGATACATTAACTTGGTGCCTAATTCATTTCTGAATAGAACAGGTAATTTAATTTACTCTTAATTCTTTTGGAGCCGCTCGCTTTGAGGCTACAATACCAGACAGGCATTGAAAATGTATGAAGTGCAGTGGTGACAACACATATCAAAGCAAATCTTTGGAAAATCCTTACCCCCAAAGTTTCGAAGGTTTCAAGTCTTAAGCTTTGTCTCTTAAACAATTGTGTCTTTATCCATCCAATTACATAATAAATAGACTTTGGACTAGGTATTATATTAAATGGAGATGGCAAAGTTCCCCCTTCTTCAAAATAGCTCATCCATAATTTTGTTCTTGCAAATTTCCACTCTATATCAGCGTGATCCTGAAAAGCAAAACAAATAGCAATTAATAAAAACCTTCTGCAAAGGACTGCAAGACAAATTAGTGTGGTAAAACTATAAAATAGGTAAGCTACACCACTCACAGCAATGTGCTGGTAGGAGTTGTTCATCATTGCAATTAGCATGTTCAGAAGCACTACCAGGGAGATGACGTTGTACGTGCCGAACATGGTAGTGCCCACAAACTCAGTGAATCTATGATCCGGTTCCACATTGGTCACATAGAGAGAAATCAGGCCAAATACAGACCAAAATAAGGACTGCAGCGTCTCGAACAGCCTGAAAAGCAAACAACCATACATCACATTATGCGCTGCTGAAAAACAAACATATTAATTATTAACAATGCAGATTTGTCAGGGACAATTTATTTAAGAACTTGCGTTGAGAAGGCGTTGTTTTGTTGGCTACAGCGAATACCCTTGCATTTATTATCCTCTATCTTTTCATCATAATAATAATAGAGCTGGTTGAGGCCATTGGCAAAGGCTAACAACACTAGACAGTAGATGAAGAGGAACTTGAGGATGTCCAGGAGCATGCGGCCCAGTGAGATCTGTAAGGGGCCCAGATGGGAGTTGGCAGTGAAAAGACAGATGAGGCGCAAGGAGCTGAAGATGTTGGCGATGGCAAACAATGCCTCTGCCACCAAAGTTGGGTGCCACATTTCCCAGCTGCATCTGGGTTTATTCCCACTGTACTGTTAAAAAAATAAATAATAAAAGAACAATGAAAATGAGAAACTGATTCTGGAATATTTCAAGTTTTCCAGCACACAAGTTGAATTTTCTACTGATAAAAACAAGAATATACAGAGATATCATTTATTTAAATTTTCAGTGGCTGTCAACCACCTTGCGTAGCAAAATGTAGAGTACCTTTACATAGGCAACAATCTTCAGCGAAATGGTTGCAAGGTACAAGGAGTTCATTATAAAGTCCATTAAGTTCCACCAGTCATCCATATAGTCTTGGAAACCACTGTCCCACATCTGTTTGATCTCAGTCCATATGAAGCCTTGGAGAAATGAGCAAACAACAGAGGTAATTTGTCATTTGTCACTCAAATATAGTTCCACAGGAAATGTGACAAACAGCCAACCAGATCATACAGTATAGGATACATAGGGCCATGGTCACCTTTGTTTGACACTCATACAGACGTGTGTGACTACAGTGTATAGATGTACAACAGTGTATGATAACATGACGTGGCGTGTGTGTGTGTGTTTGTGTGTGTGTGTGTGTTTGTTGTTACCAAGCACCCAGGGCAGGATCATCCATTCCACAGTGGTGGGTGGTGGGCCCTGAATGTGCGGGTCTGCAGGGTCTATGTGCTGTGAGGCCAAGAGGAGCAGGAAGAGGAAGGTCAGGTAGGAAGCAGTGTGACAGATGAACTTGATGAAGGGCTTACGGATGAACAAGCCATAGCGGCTCTTTGGAGAGATCAGGTAGAAGAAGGATAACAGTGGGAAGAGGAGGCCAATGAAGATACATGTGACAAACTTTCCTGCCCAGTGACGCCTCCTCCAGCCTGGGAACTCATCGTACCACCGAGACGCCAGCAGCTGCTGACAGTTGGGCTGAGCAACAAACTGAAAGAAAGAGAAAAACATGTTAACTAAACTCTCCTTTATTTACCACTTGGTCTTAGAAATCCATTCAGACAATGATGGACAAATTAGAAAAAAGGCCATTATACCTAAACTTCCCCATCCCTGACCTGCAAACAGTACATAAAAACATACACAAAACATTTCTTCTCTATTTTTTCTCTATTTCTCATTTGCTTAATATACACTGGTAACAGACGTTGCTAACCCACAAGTGGGCAAACATTTTGCTGATCCTCGGTTAAAAAGTGATTGTCAAATCTGTTTATCTGCCCTGTGAGATTTGATATAAGCATCTGCTGGACATCTGCGGCTAGTGATGAAAGTTGATTTCAACTTAACCAAGTTACAGCCAAATGGATCCCCATTATGGTACTATATAACATTAAATTGTGGGTGATGAGGTCATCTATCAGTGCAGAATCTGACATCTTTAATGTTCTCTATCTGTCCTTGTGAGATGTTGACTTGCCATAACATGACTGGAGGCAAAAGGTGGCATCTGGCAGGACCAGATTTTGTCTGAGGACATTTTTAGAAGGTGAAAATCGGCCCATCCACATGCCACACCACTCTGCCCTTCAAAAACAAGTATTAATTATGTCCTAAGGTACATTCATACATATTTATGTTACTTACATGCACGCTGTACATGGAAACACTACTCATACAGCAATGTGATTTTTTAATAAAAGACTAGACCACGTTTTGCACTTAAATATACAATAACACATTATCTGATATGTGACTGAGTGCAGAAGGCAGAACAAGAACAGAACAAATCTTTACCGAATACATTACAGGGAAATGTTGCCACTAATAACATTCCGTAAGTGCTGGTGGTCTGTGCAGTCCATTAAAACTCTGTAACCACTTTGGTGCCAAAATGGCAAACCAGCTTAACGATGACTTTTTTTTTGTCTGGTTCTTTGCTCAAATAGACAAATGGACAATGGCAACATATTATAGTGGCAGCACACAACAACCTCTCAATCGCCACTTCTTTGCAGTTAGGGAAGGGCAGGACAAACAATCAACACTCCTATATTCATTTTTCTTACTTACTACCTATTGTTGGGAGTACGTGGTTTCGCTCATCTTCCAATCTAATCCAAATAGTGGTCAACTCCCTCAATATAGTATCGTGAAATGAAAACTATGCAACATGCTCTTTTTAAAGTGTTCTTGTGTCTTTAAATATTTAAATGTGTCTAATAATACATTGTAAAATTTAAGGGCTATCAAATTTGTAATCCAAAAAAGGATTCCTACTTTTTCCACACTATGCTTGTCACCCAAATATAAACCATCTGTTGTAACAGAGGACTATCAGAATAAAAATAATGTTTGTGGCCCTGGCTCATAGGTACGGAAGCCGAGAACGGCCATGGATTTTGTTATCTCGTGATAACGACTATTAAATATCTTTATCTCGAGAAAAAATTTTGTGTTTCTCGGTGATAACGAGATTAATAAATGTGTTCGTCTTTACTTGCTAAACTAATGCGCTGCCCACGGAGAACATGCTGTCCGGTACTTACGGGTCGGATACCTCAGCCCAGTGGCTGACGGAACATCTATCGATTGAGGTTTTAAGAGTCGGAAGATGGAACACGATTATTAATTTAATTCGTTATCACGGACATGGGATAAGAATCGTGTTTGTGATGTCGACGATAAGCGAACTAATTAATTCGTCGGTATAACGAGAAAAGCAAACTTTGGTACAAGAGTTGCACGAACGTAGCCACTGTGCTGTAGCCGCTAGGACTAACAGCTAAGATCTACAATTTACCGTTAGTGTGCCATTAGGGACAGCTCTTCGTAGGGGTTGAAATCAAGACGAACACATTATTGATTAATTAGTGTATCTCGAGAAAACGATCTTTGTTATCTCGAGATAACAAGATAATAAGTCGTTATCACGATATAACAGTGCATAAAAAAAAAAATCCATGGCCGTTCTCGGCTTCCGTACATAGGACAATAAAAGGAGGAAAATCTTTAACTTTAGGTCAATCATAGATGTAATCACACATGACTAAAGTTATTAAAGTTGTCCAATTTTACACTAGCAAATCCACTGACTACAATCATAGTTGGGGCATGAATAACACACTAATTCTCATAATTTAAAGTACTACATAAAAACAATCAATAGTCCTCGTGATTTTTCATGAAATGAAAAACAACTGTGATCATCAAAATGCATGAACTAACTATAAGAACTAGCACATTAACAATTGCTACTATTAGTGTACAGCTGCACTAGAGCAATTATTACCGTTCTTCAAAACACAAGCATAAATGTGGAGAAACCATTAAGCTCTTTGTTCGTTTCTTGATTAGAGCTATTTAGGCCAAATGTGTAATCATGCAAGATGAATAACAAAGGCTTGCCTTGTTGTATTTATTACTGCCCTAGGATTTTACTGGTCCAAAACTGATCATGTCCGTTTCCAAAGCTCAAGTCAAGTTGGGTCCTAAAGCATCCGTGTGTCAAGAAGGTCAAAACTCACTTCAAGTCCAAGAAGAAATTAATGTCAGAAATTAATGTCAGACTAAAATCAGACTGTCCTCTCTTCTGATATTATACTTGTGATCAAACAGTGACATCTTGCTTCTATTTTTAGAGCCACCAGTGTCCAATTTTGTCTAGTGTTACATTTTTAACAGTTTTTTTCTTTTTGTAATGTGTGTGTTCCGATCATAGCATGTGCAGCACTCTATAGGACCAGGTCCTGTTGTTTCTGTTGTTATTATTATTATTATTATTGTTAGCAGTAGTAGTAGTAGTAGTAGTAGTAGTAGTAGTAGTGGCAGTAGTAGTGTATGTAGTACATGATCAATGTAAAATGCAGTCTGAATTCAAGCAAAGAAATCTTCTTCAATACACCAATAGCCACTGAGCCACTGAAAACTGCATGGAAAAACTCTTAAAAGCTCAAGACCAAGACTAAATCTGAATATAGAAGATGAGAAGTGCACAGGTGGTATTAGCCTTTAACTCTGCAAATACTACGCAATTGCTGTTTACAAACAAGACCCAAAAGCTATGAGCAGTCTCTTTAGTGAGTGAAACAAATAGAAGAAACACGCTGAAACTCTGTCTGTACTTTATATTGTAGCTTGTTACGCAGTAAACAACAAAAGATGAAAGAAAACAATCCTGACCTTTCTTTTACTTGCATACACGCAGTAAATTAAATTTTTTACTAGGTTATACTTTCATTGTTGTCACCGAATGCTGTGTTAAGCAAAAATCAATGCAACGTTTATACATATATACAGATATAATCCATTATAAACTTTATAAGTAATTCTCAAAATGATTGCTGATCCTTATTGTTATGGTGTGATTGCAATGTGCAAATTTTTTAGAGGCATTATTCCATAACAAATGACAAAAGTTGACATTTTATCCAGGGGATAAATGTTCTAAAGAAAATGTTAAAAAAGAGTGTAAAAGGTTCCCTCCCTAATTAAAATATTATGAGTATGTATTTCAGGAAATGGCCATCACTTATTCCATCATTATCCCCAATTATCTAATTGTCATGGGACTGTCTGAGAGAGCTACTGTAATGCATTGCTAAGAGCCAGCCTGACAATTACATGTTGTTCTAAACTCCCAAAGGACATCTCCACCCATCTCAAGCCATTTGCAGCTTATCTTGGCACCATTCTTGTTATCCACTCCATGTTGTTCAAAGAATTTAATACTTATTCCTTGTTGTGCTTGTACTTGGGTTTAATACAGCAACAACTCACTCTCCATGAGTACCAGTGCTACCAAGACAAATTACTTTTCTTCACTTGTGTTATCTTTTTCACCATGAAGACATGCAGAAAGAAACTGTTGTTGTATCGCTGTAGGCCACAGCAGTCATCTGACAAAGAGCATATCCTAATCAACAAAGACCTTACCTCCTTCTGGCAGTATTTGATAGCCAGCTTCAGTCGGGCCAGATCATTACCATTCTCATCCAGCAAAGGGTTGATGTCGTCACGGTAGTTGAGAATTATTTCCAACTCTTTGGAGCTTCTGGTCTGGTCCAAGAGGTTCTTTGCAAATTGTTGACACATACGCGACAGCTCCTCGTACTCTGACTTGAACTCATTCTCCACCGTGCTGAGCTCCTTCAGCTCCCAGCTGAGTTGAAAAGCTGTGAGGAAAGGATCCTCACTGGAGAGGGCAATGAGTGATGGGCTGGCAAGGGCCTTGTAGATGTTAAGACGAGAGCGCGAATGACGAAGGCCGTCCACGTCTGAACTGGACACACACTCTACGCAGTTGCAGCGCACAGCATGTGGCTGAGGTATGGAGACACCTCGCTGCACAAGAAGTTTGATTATCTCATAGTTGTTGGTGTGGGCTGCAAGGATGATTGGAGTGATGTCTGGGGTGAAGTCTGAAAACTGTTTGTCCAGCAGAATTGGTGGAACCTTTTCAAAAAGCCAAGAGAGGACAGACAAATGAACAGACATGAAAATTCACAGTACAGTTTTATCAGTTAGTTCACAAAAGAACACTTCTTAAGCAGCTTCTAACCCTGACAGGAATGAAAAGAACTGGCTTAAATGGATCAAATTTCATCTGTCCTGGGTCTCTAAACATCTTATCTAACAGCAAGCACACAGCTAATGGCTTGTGGTTCAGCTGGCCTCAACATATCTTCCTGGTTGTTTTTTTCTTTTTCCTTCTCTTCACAGAATAAACCCAAGTCCATTACAGCATCGAAAAGCAAATGTAGAAAGATGTCAAGCAACTGGGGGGCTTTATCAAAGTGCCTGATTTGCAAACCACGGAGAATGGCTTTTTTTGTCAAAGCTGTGGCAAAAATACCCACAGCAGCACATCAAAGAGTATCAGTGCTGAAGCTTTTCAGCAGAAAATAAGAGTTGGATTCCTAAAATAAACAGCCGTGCCTGAAACAAGACACAGAGGAAAGCACCTCTGCAAGTTGGTTGTTGCTGTAAGGGGTGAAATTGATTCATGGAAGACAAATTAAATAATCTAATATTAGGCTAACTGATGATAATGAATTTATAAATCTGCCACAGTGTCTCACTTGTTGCTAACCAGGACAGTTAACAATGTTTCCCATTAAAGCAGATTAAAAGGTGTCACATACTGTACTTGTGCCCACTAGCTCTTTTTTTCTAAGCCTAACTGGAATTGTAGCTGACAGTAAGGCACTTTTGCCCAAACTTAACCATGGTCAGCGATATCAGTACCTCCACAAAGGAAAACTGGAAACTATGTACACAGTTAGTGACAAATACAAATATACAGTATACAGTGCAGTCATCAAATGAGGCATAATTGTGTGGGCAGGTTGGTTCTGTTGCAGAAGCAAAAAAGCTTAGAATAAGTTTTGTGAATGCACAAAAATGAAACTGATTGAAGCTACACAGGTTTGCAATAAAGCACAACCTTAAAAGCCTATAAGAGAACCACCTGTGGGAACGTGAGAAATGAATCTACATGGATCTACAGTACCTGTTTCTCCCCACGTGGCTTCTTGTGGTTGAGCAGCAGCTCCACAGCCCCCACCACTTCTTTACGGATGGCATGTAGCAGTGCATCACCCACATATACATTATAGCTGAGCAGCAGCTCAATGATCTCCAGGTTCTCATTTTCAATGGCAATGAGCAGGGCTGTGCGTCCCAGGGGGTCGATGCAATTGATGTTGATCCTGAAGTAGATCTCAGCCTCCTCCAGGGCTTGTTTCACACTGGCATAGTCCCCCTTTTCAACAGCCCCCAGGTAGGCCCTCTCCAAGGCAGAGAGCTCAGATTCAGCCCGCACGATCCTCAGAGGGATGCGGTCCCTGTAAGAGGAGTTGTCGGTTTTCCTGTAATACAGCTGTGACATTGCTGCTACAGCATCACAGTCTCAACTGATAATGAATAAGAAAGAACAAGACAGGAGGGGAAGTGAGATCAAGTTTCAGGGCTGATGTTTCAGACAGAACTAAAAAATAATAAGTAATTTTATCACCTATTTTCACACTCATTTGGAAAATGCATTTTAATTCAGCATTAATTTATAATAATATTTCTTGCGATTATGTATTTCAGTATTCAAATCAAGATATTGTTAAAACACGTTACTGTTTAACTGTAAACACTCTTCCTATGCAAATCTAAAATAGTTACAACATGATCTGAAATCTGAGTAAACTTAAACATTTTTGTAAGAAAGAAAACCATTGATAGTTGACGGCAGGTGACTAAAAGAGACAATTTCGATTATAAATGTAGGCCTAATTAATCACATATAAACGAATCTAACACAAAAGAAACACTGAAACTTTACCTTTCTACTTGTGATTTACTCATGAACCACTCGACGGAGAACCAGAGGCTGCGGCTGTCAGAGAGGAAACTGGTCGGATCCTCATCTTATCACTAAAGCCTCCACTGGAGACACTGTAATGTCATGTCATGCAATCCTGTGCCCACCCCTTTCGCTCTCTCGTCTGTAGGGGCAATAAGGACTTGTTAATGACATTTCTCGGTAAAAGATCAACAGGTGACACATCCTCTTGCACAAACTGTGCGCTCAAAAGCCAGAAAACGCATTTACAGCCATCACCGCCGTCCAACCCCTGGGGTAGCGGTAGACTCCCTTGAAGGAAACCCACCACTGTTTACTTTCATGCAAAAGTCATTCCATTACTTTTTATTCATATTATGGCCAGTTATGTTAAAGTAGCGTTTTTCCAAGAATAATTTGATGTTAAGTGAATATGACAGTAGAGGAAATGCTTATACCATAGTTCCTTTCTCATTTATTTATTTTTTTCATATTTAGTTGGCTGGCAATCCTGAAGCCACTGATAGTAACTGATCAACATTTCTATGAAACCCAAACAACTTAAGCTGTTTTTAAAGTCTCTTTAATACCCCTCTAGCACGGTAAGAGAGCCCACTTTTTTTGGGTTCCCCCCATTCAGATGGATCAGATGCTCCTCAAGATTCCTTAGAAAGACCAAGATGTCAGGTATAAACACAAATCTGTTTGATGAATGATATCCCTGAGAATATCATCAACAAAGCCTTGAAAGACAGTAAGGGTGTTAACCGTAGTTCCTGTCTGCCTGTCAGCACAACTCCCCAGTGAACAAATTATTGTATTTTTCCAGTATAAACACATTCCAAACCCCCTGAAAAAAGGACTTCACAAAAAAAATCTCTGAAGTCCCAGGTGTCCCAGGGACTTCTGATGAATGAGAGTACAATCTTCAGTCTTTATTTGGTTTCTTGAGGCTTCCTAGAAATGTGTGTTTAGCTGCTTTAGTTGCTCTACTTCTTCTAGTTGTCAGTGGGACTGACACTAGCAACACACTGCATACAGTGTTAATACAAAATTACTTTAATGGAGCTTTATTGTATAAAGCTGGCCTGCTTCAGTTGAGCAAGAAGCATGACTTAACAATATTACCCTAATTACTAGATTGCCTTCACCACAAGAGGGTCATCACGCAGTACAAGCACATGGCTCGATGAAGAAAATCAATCAAATCTAGTCTAATAAAGTGACAAATTTGTCTAAAAACTATGAGACTAAAGTTATAGACTTATAAACTCCTGAAGTCAGGAGAGGATGCAATAATACTGCAGTAGGTTCCAGGTAAGTATGCCATAAGGGAAACTTATACAGTGCAAAAATATATCAAGTGAAGTCATGTTGAAGTCACAATGAAGACATAAACATCATTATATAGTAGATCCTGGGGATGTAAAAACAAACAGGGGCTCTGCTGACTGTCTTTAGAACAAATGATATGATCTACTGAGACTAAAACATGCATGTGAAAAGTTTGCCCTCTAGTAATGAAACACATGAAAAGCACAACCTTGTCCAATGTTTCTACATCTTGTGAGGAGTTTTTGTTCCATAAATGTTCACAAGAGTCTGAGTTTGCCACAGAGCGTGGAAGATGTGAAGTAATTTCACCCCAATAGGCTCTGTTTTTCCATTGAGCTCTCAAATGTGAATTACTGTCGAAGGAAAACAGCCTTGAAATATGTAATATGTTTAAAATCAGCTGGCTAGTGTGAGCCTGCACAGTTGCTAAGAAGTTTTTTACCAATCATTCTCTTTCACATCCATAGGCAAAAATACCAAAACACACCGTACAGCTGATGTTTATGTTCATATAAGGATGTCAGTCATCTTGTCAATGACACATTGAGCATGGTTTCATGTTTTCAGTGTGCTATTTTATTTTGTTATCTCTTTGAAAGAGCAGTTTTCTAAGGTTAAGGCTTAGAATTACATTTTTAATGCATTGGGTGCAGTCAGGTTTGACAAATGAAAAATCAATAGCCAATATTGAGACAAATTTCATTATGTTAGTCAACTAACAAATATGAAGTTAATATCAATATCAAAATAGATGTTTTTTTCTTACATTTAATACTTTGGAGATGTTATGTTTATGCTGTAGATGTTTTGCGTTTCCAGCATTTGCACATTTTGAGTGCTGCTCTGGAGGCAACAGCTCACTTTCATCCGGTTTTGACACTGTCTATGTCAGAAGACATTGTTGTGATGAGTAACACACTCAAAGTGCATCATGCTGTATGAATCATGGGTTCACATTCAGTATTTCCGCCTTTATCTTGTAGGCATTGTAATTAGAATGTGTTAGGCTGGAGAAAGGTTTGTGCTATTGTGTGATTTTTTATGATTTTGTGTAAGAGGACCCAGTGTATGATAAGAAATATTTCCCCCTTTTTGAATCAACCAAATCTCTCACTTAGAGGACTTGTGGTCATCATTATCATCATTGCAGCTATTATCTCATCACACTCATTGCAAGACATCTGCAAGGCAGTCTGGTTTGAACACTTACCAGTACAGTGCTGCACCATCTTATCCTGCAGTACAGTGCCGGAATATGTTATGAACAGACACAATATTTAATTGGTACACATACATAATGCATGCATTGTGAAACCTCTTTAAACATTAAAAGCTGGCCATGGGTTATCATGTTTTACACAGATGGACCAAATGGCTTTAATTAGCCCAACATGCTTTGTATAACATCAGTTTAAAACACAAAAAAACATTCCATTTCATGTTGTAGATGAAGTATTTAAGTACATTTTTAGAATGACAATTTTATTGTCATATATACAATCATACACAGTACAACGTATACAGGGATATTTTAACCCATCCACTGGGATGGCAGCCACTGCACCTGGGAACCAAATCTACATCTAAGCCAGTAACTACTAGATCTCAAGGGCACTGACTGGAGAATTAACCTATCATATATGTTTTAAAGGTGGGGAGCACCCAGAGAAAACATGCAATGTATTGCTGTGGATGGGGTCAGCAGAAAAATGTATTTTAGCCACCAAACAGAGCCCTTTGGAGAGAGTGATATAATGGCTTCAGTTTCCCATTGGAAAGGACTGACAGCAATTACCTTGCTGTCAGTCCTTTTCAAGTTGTGAAAAGATTATAAATATAGCGTTTATACACCAACATTGTTTTTCAAGTGACTGACTATGAATAAGTATACAACACGTTTAAGATATGAGGAAGTCCCTCTTTGACTTTCTATTTCTCACTTCATGCAGTTGGGGCAAGAGGATGGTAATCTCTTCCAACTCTTTTAAACAGCAAGCTTAACTTTACGTTTACAAATTGCCTAATACAACTTTTTTAGCTGTCAAGGACGCAATTTTCTTTTAAATGATCAGACAATAATTTTGTGGCTCCAGGTGTTAAAATTAATTTCCCAGGAAGCGATCACATACCAGAGTTATTTCAAGACTGCGTTTATTGTGACATAAAAGAAGACAAAGAAAAAGTCAGTAAAACCTTTACAGCCACAGTGAGTACAGCAATCTAGAAAGTCAATAATCCACAGAATTGGATTTCTGAGGACAAGATCATGTTGCAGTTTCATCACAAATTTGTCAACATCTTGACATTAATAATACATAGAAAAACTTTCTGCTTCTGTACTCTTGCACGTCTGGGTCAGTTTCAAATGGAGCTACTTAAAATAAACCATTATTTTTTACAGTAACAGCCATTTTTGGAAATTGCATTGTATTGTTTTTTGTCTTCTGAGGTAACCTTTAGATTATTTATTACATTTGTCTACTTTTATGTACTACAAATTAGTTTTATTCAACAGAGAAAGCATCATGGCTAATGAAGTATATCTACATTGACATTTGTTTGCAACGGGAACAGAAATAAAGTCACAAGTGTATAAAGTGATGACATAAGAACAAAACATTCTCAATAAAACCATTCTGAAGAGTAATTAAAATACTGCAGAACAAATTATTTTACCAGTTTATGATTCAGGCTGAAATAATGTTATATTGTATCCACTGAAGATCGAAATGATGATGAGTGGCAGTTGAAAATATCTTTTACAATATGAGCAGATGCTGTATCTTTCCTTTTTGTCCATTGTTGCTTGTCAGTATTACAGAGCACAGTTGATGCAGCTGGTACAGTTCTGTGCCCTGAGGAGCACTCAGCCTTTTTTATTTATTCCTACTGATATGTGAGAGCCCTGATGTGCAGCCACCTTTTGAATATCACCTGTTTATTTTTAGAGTTTCCTGGTTGAATTCCCTGCCATAGCATTGTGCTGTCAATTTAAGTTAAGGTCACACAGAATGATTGGCTCATGTACTGTATTTTTATTTTTGATGCCTTTTGCAAGGGAGAGCTGTGGATTGACAGAGCTGACATCTGACTGCAGAATGTGACCTGTATCACAATTTCCCCTATCCTGGTCCAGACAATATGCAATGCTACAAATATGTTTTATGAGAAAGTTCTCTTTGTCTTACCCTAACCCTAACCCTAGCTTTTAATAATGTCACAGACCTTTGTTTTATTTCATGTACTAACTCTAGGCAACAGCTAAACCCAAGCTACACTGATCAGCCATATCATTATGACCACCTGGGCACCTTGGTGGTCCCGCATCAACCTTGAGTACAAAATGTTCACTTGCTGTCTGATATATCCCACCCACTGACATGTGCCATGATAACGAGATAATCAGTGTTATTCACTTCACCAGTCAATGATCATAATGTTATGGCTGATCTGTGTACATTTCTGATGTTTACACCAGTAATATTGACAGTACAGTAAAATGGCCTAGAGATTTAATTATTATCAGTCCTGGGACATACACAAATGCTCATAAGTCATACTCTTTAATTATATGTTGAATGTTCAGAGTCAAAAATCTGATTGAGCTTTTAATAACAAAACTGTAATGGACTCAATGAATA